AAGTGATTTTGTTTTTTTATGACACCCTTGTTTACTTATTGGTAATACTCCATTTTCAATCCAATATTTTGCCCATTCGCGAATCTTTTTTGCTTGATAAGAACCTTTTTGGTAAAGTTTATCTGCTACATTAATACTTGCTTCTACTTTATTAACATTACTATTTATATGTAAAAAATATTCATATATTGCCCAGTAACGAAGATATTCCGATGCAGATAAGCTTTTTCTATTATTTTGCAAAATATTTTTAAGTTTTTCAAGCTTTTCTAAACTAATTATATTTTTTTTTTGATTAGAAATACCATTATCGAAAGAATCGGACGTATAACCGCCACCACCATCATCATTATTACTAAACTCACTACTTCTATCACCACCACCATCATCATCACCAGAACTAAACTCACTACCCCTATCACCATTATTATCATCGAAAAAATCATAATCACCACCATCGGATATATTATCATCTAATGAATTATTATCGTCTGATATGCCATCTCCAGATATATTATTATCAGATATATCACTACCAGATATACCACTATCTAGTGCATTACTTCCACCAACTAAGTATTCGTTTTCATTGTTTTCTGAACCAAATTTTTGTTTTTTATATGTAAAAAAATGATCGAGAGTTTTAGTTCCGACTGCTGCTAATGTAAATTTACCAGATGGACCATATTTTCTATATTTAGTGGCTTGTGATAATTTAAGTTTGTTTTTTCTTTTTTTTTATTAATTCTAATTTTCCAAGTTCATTTAATCTTTGTTCATAAAATTTTTCAAAATCATTGCTGGAATCGGAAGAATAATCTTCATCGCTAAAATCGGAAGAACTTTCAGATAAAATAAAGTCTGAATCTAATAATTTTACATTTTTTTTGCTTTTTCGTTTTTGAAAATTTTTTCGTGCAGAAATTTGGCGTTTTCTCAATGGCATATTTAAGAAAAATAGAAACTAAACTAACTTGATTCAGGTCGTCGATTATCAATTTATAAAAGATACAATATTAAACGAAAATTGTGATTTTTTTTTTAATTAGAACAAAAAATTTTAAAATAATATACCTGTTACACAAAATTATTATATTCTCAATTTTTCAATTTCATAATAAATTTGCCCACTACTTTAGCTTAGTATAACTTGATCAATATCGCATAATATAAAAAAATAATATATAATTCCAAAAGTTCTAGTACTTATCTATCATTATTATTGGTTAAATTTTTTAAGTTAGATGTTTGTATCATATGTTAAGCTAATATTAATCGATACTACTTTTACTATAATAAATTTTTGAGTATAGAGGTTTTGCACCGTAGTCCCGACTCAAATTTTTTCTTGAGTCAGGTCGAATGACCTGGGTTGATTTGACCGGCTCGGAGCACTATGTTCATGTATCTAAAGCAAATGAAATACTTCCAGGTATATTCTATTAAAATATAATTTAAAGTAAAAAAATATACTTAAACATAAATTTTAAACTCACTTAAAATAACATTTTCATTTTTATTTATTCCATTTCAACAATTTCCATTATATCATTTTTTGCTGTATCTGCTGAAGGTATTAATGCATTAGAATTTAAAAACTTTATCATTTGTCGAAAATACTTGTTTTCAAGTGTTGTAAATGATTGATCATCAGTAATTATCCATTTTAAATTTACGAAAATCTTCTTGTATACTTAAAGTACAGAGCGCCGACGTTGAGGCAGTACTGATATATTTAATTTTTATTAAATAATTTTTGCATAATTATTACATAATTAAAATCCTTCTGCTATATTATACATTCGTTTATAAATATAAACTCTAAAGAACTGATCGCAACATTATTATATATTTATCGACAATTTTCAAATCTAAATCGTGAATATCCAGTTACTGAAAAATCATGAAGTAAGATGTACACGAGTTGTTCATTTGATTTTAATGGCGCAGTATGTGCGATTATAATAATTCAACCAGCTGTCTCAGTTTTATAAAATATTTACTTTTGTATATTAATTAGATTTGGTAAAAAAGATATCGGAAAAAAATTTTAATGTGCAAAAAGAAAAAAAAATATCCAAAAAAAAACACATACGAGTACTTCCAAGCCGAAAGAGGATCCTAATTATTAATAATGAATAAATTTAAAGAAAAATTAAATAAAAGTCGTTAAATCACTGCGGCTCAAACGAAAGAGCCTAAAAAAAAAATTAAATTAAATTAAAGAAAATTAAACTATAAATGAAATTAAGGGAACATGTATCGCGTGCTTCCGCTATTATTAAAAAAAAAAAATTACTATCTGATCTGAAGAAACATAAAAAAATTTCAAAAATAAGGCATGGCTAATAAATTTTTAGATACTCGCTAGTATCAGATTTTTTTTTAAATTTGAAAAATTTTTTTAGATAATTACCCAATTATTAACATTATTATTTCAAGTTCATAGAATAAGGGAGGTTTGCTAGAAATTGGGATCTGAGAATTTTTTTTAATAAAAGCTAATTTTTATTTGCATTTTAATCATCAAAAATTACAAATTAAAATTTATTAAAAAAATTCTCAGAATCCCATTGTCCTAGCAAACCTCCCATATGGTTTTCTCCTTTTTGGAAAAGGTCACGTTATTCACTCCCATGAAATAATGTGTAATCCTAAGAACGTGTTACTCAACTCATTAATAAGAAACTCGACGAAGATTCCCGGTCACATGATCAACAAATCATTTATGAAGGAGGTATCATGAGCACTTACACGACAGGGGATTATTGCACATGTAATATATAAACAATAGCGCAAATTTTTTATTTTGTCCAGCCTTAATGCATTAGCTTGAAGTAGAGTTTGGATCCGTTATTTAAACGTATTGATAAAGACCTGTAGTCGCTAAGCCAATGAATGTTCATCATAATGACAAATTGCCTTTCGTAGTTAGTAATTGATTTCGAGTTCGGAAATATGTATAACGAATAAGAGATATCCGAAGTACAAGCATGAATGTAAATTTTTCAAATTTTGCAAATTTAAAAAAAAAATTTTTTTGGTGATCAAAAAATCGTTGCGCCATAAATAAAATCGATTTACTTTACCAAAACATTTAATGAAGCCTCTGTATAACCAATCTAGTCAGTGCTTTTCGGGAAATTTATGGAAATTTGAAAGTGCGAATATGAAAATCTCATTTAATATCTTTTGCAATCAAGTTAGAAAATAAATAAACTGCTATTGAGAAAATAATGTGGCAAAGTAATAATGAGTAATTTGTTTAAATCTATTTTAATTTCATTATTATTTTTTAAGCTTATTCTCAAGAAAAAAAACATTAATACATATTCCTTTAAACAACTTCAATCCTTAAATTTTGGGTCTATATTATCATCAATTTTGTACCGTTTTCCTGTTTAAATATAATTATATTTAATAAATAATATAATAAATAAAAAAGTAATCGTATACTAAACATTATCATGAGGGGAATATTACCATGGTTGCTTGGATTTTTAGCTTTCAATTCATCTATATTTCGCTTTTTTGAAAAATTTATAGCTGCAGAAATCCTAAAAATCGATAAAAGATATGTTAATTATTAAATTATGAGTACGTTAAAATTTTCCATATTATTACCTTTGAATATCATTTATATCATACTCTTGATCTCTTGAAATATATTCTAAAAAAACATAATTTTTATTTTCGGTTTATTTGGTAATCGATTAAAATAATTTATAGCATACCTTGACCTGTATTAGACAATATTGAACTGCTAGATGAGGATTTATTAGACTCCTTGGTCATAATGCTTAATGTTCTCCTCATATACACTGCTTTTGGATGAGGTTCTTTAATAAATTCAGAATAAAATTTCGTTGATTGAATCAATTTCAATCTTTTTTCTTCAGAATCGTTAAATGTTTGATGATTCCAAAATAATAACCAAAAATCAATACTTTTACAAATTTCTGTTATTAAAGGTCTTTTTGAAGGATCAGGATTCCAACATCTTTTCATTAAATTAGCATAACATTCAGGAGTATCATGAGTAATTTCAGGCCGCTTTCCATCAATAATTTTATAAATTAGTTTATGATCATGTTCGAGATTATCAAAAGGTTTACGACATGATGTTAATTCCCACATAATCATACCCAAACTATAAATATCAGATTCTTTTGAAAACTTAACGCCCTTATATATTTCAGGTGCAATGTAAGGTATGACGCCATATATTTCATTATTTAATGGAGTATTGTCTACAGGTTGTGACAATCCTAGATCTCCAATATACCATTTTCTATCATTTCGACGAGTTTTTAATAATATATTTCCACTATGAAGATCTCGATGTATAACATTTTTTTCATGAATCTCTCGAAGTCTAAATTTAAAAAAAAAAAATATGTATTAAATAATGTCCCGTGACTTTTGAAGTATATCTAAAAAAATAAATATATATACATACCCTCGTGAAATATCTTGTAAAATAAGTCGTTTATATTTCCATGTAATAACTTTAAAATTTTTTTTTAAATGATGATGCAAATCTCCTCCATTTGCATACTTCATTATTAACATAAAATCTTTAGTCTTTGGATCTTGCGTTATTCCGTAGCATCGAATAACGCTACGAGATGTATCGTTACAAAGATATATCAATTTTAACTAAAATTATAATTAATTAATATTAACTGTAATGTATTTAAAGAATGATATTAAATTATTACCTCGTTTAAAAAACCCCTGTAAATATTTTGAGAATCTTTGATTCTTTTTAACGCAACAATTTCATTCTGATTTTTAATTGCTCGGTAAACAACGCCAAATCCTCCTTCCGCTATTTTTTTTAAATTTGTGAATTGAGAATATGGAATCCATTCCATTGGCTGAGAATTTCTATAATTACCAAAATCATACCCTAAAATCTTATATTTGATATGATCATCAATTTGATTACTGTGGTTAAATTTTGTGTAATAGAGAAATTCATCTATATTATTATTTCCACTGATAAAATTTGTGACATCGACAGTAATAGATACTTCTCTCTTGCATTTCCTACATTGAGATTTATCGGTAATGCCGAAAATAATATTTGTTGTTAAGCAATATCTACATCCTACATATAATACAAAACGATATGAACACCACTTTTGACAATCTGTTGCAACATTTAATACTCTTCCACAAACTATGCAAGAGCTATTGGCATACCACCACGGCAAATAAAGTATTGGAATAGATTTTTTAATGACTGTTGATTTTATCCATCCCTTGGAAATTGAATCACAATTTTGATATAACGATAAATTATCATGTCGAATTTTGTTATCACTATGAAGAATTTGTCTAAAATATAAAATTTCCGAGCAATTTAGACACCATTCTTGAATATTGTGTGAAAAAAAATCTAAATTTCTTGGTTTATGTTCTCTACACCGAGTGTTGTTTGTACCGATGCGCACATCCAAGTGTATATTATTATTATCGTTTAATTTCATAACATATAAAGAAAGGCAAATTTTGCAATATTTGTAATTATCATTAAGCGACCTAGAAAATCCACGTCGACAATAATTGCATTCGTCATCATTATCGCAAAAGGAAATGAACAAAATCGGCAAAGGGTGGTTAGATTTTAGTTTTAGCATTAGGTCGAAAGTCTTATTTTTCGTAAGTTCCACTTTGAATAGATAGTAGAAAATTATTTCCTATGTGAACAGGACAAAAGATCCAAGTTTAGCCTAAATTTATAATAAAAGGTTTTTCTGTGTAATTGTTTACTTAACGTTAAGGAATAACGTTAACTTAGAAACATAATTTTTTTTATTGTGTTGTTCAACAATTCATTTCTATATATGGAAATAAAGTTATTTAAACAGAAAGATAGATATTTCTAGAATTCTAAGAAGGTCGTCTAAACGTAAGTTTTATTATAATAATAAAATTAACTAAAGGACAATATTTTATCCGTTAAATTCAAAAAAATCGTCTTTTTCGTAATAACTAATTTTGTCAAATTTTTTTTTTATTTTTTTTTTTACTTTAAAATCAGTAGGCCAGCAATCAATGCAAAATAATAAACTTGTAAATAATACAAATTACATGGCATGGTAAAAAGAACTTTTGGTGAAAGTCGAAATTTTCAACTTTGACAATTTTCGAGAGTTTCCGACAATGACGATTTGTTATTCACGTTTAAAGATTTTCGGACTAGACCGAGATTCGAACAATGAGGAAATTTTTTTCCGGATTTCTCCGAAGAAAATCAATTCTATATATAGATTGGTAACCTAGATTTTTTTTTTTATGTATATGAAGAAGGTTTATTATTTTATTCTTTTTACTACTAGGCTTAGAAAGGAAAAAAAAAGCGAATATAATTTCCGAGAATTTCCGATAATATTTGTCAACAATTTTTTATGATTTGCAAAATGATCGACCCGTAATTAGTCCGGAGTGTAACGAAGGACGAGACCTCTCTAAATGCATCATAGTGAAAATTTGAAAAATTGTGCATTTAAAGAGGATGTGCATTTAAAGAGAGAAATTTTGTATGATCTTTATATACTTGGGTTGTGTAAAGTGTGCATTTATAAAAAAAATATATATAATGCATGCATTTAGGGAGGATATTTAGAGAGGTCTCTGTAATTCTATGACTGGTGACACAAAATGTCCCGCTCAAAAATTGAGTTGATACAATTATTAGCCGGTTAGGATTTTTCTTAATTGAATTATTAGAAAATATTACTAAATTATAGTTTACAACTTTTCTTTTAGAATCTCGAAAAAATGATAAAATATCATTCTAATTAAATGATTAAAAATCAGATGATACATCATCATTTATAAGAACAATTTAAAAAAAATTCTTTTAAAATAGCAGATTATTATCCTTATTAAATGATTAAAAAAATATTATTAAAAAAATAATATTTTATTATTCAATTAGAAAATTTTAAAAAAAAAATATCATAAAAAGACAATAAATTATGATTTTAATTAAAAAATATTACTGAAGAATCAGTAAATGCATCGAAAATGTTTGATATATTATCTTATATAGATCCAAAAATATTAGATGATATAAACAAAAATTACAAATTTAATAAAAAATCAAATATCTATAGTATTGGAGTTTGCTATAGAAAATATCAAGTGAATAATTGTAATATATATTTATCACTTTTTATTTTAAAGGAAAAAAGAAAACAGGATTATTGATAGAATTCCATCTAAATTTAATAATATCTATCAAGATAATTAAAAAATTATGCTATTTTTTTTTAAAAAAACAAATTATAACATTATTCATTCAATTAGAATATTAGAAATATAAAAATTATAAGTATACAAATATACAAAAAATTATTTCAATTCTAAAAGCAATTATTTATTATAGTAAAATTAATATATTAATCTTATTGAAGAAGAAATTGATTTATCTATAAAAGTAAATCTAGTTTTAAATCTAATAAAGAACAAAATGAAAATTTATAAGATTTAACATTAAAAAAATAATATCAAATATATAATACATTATCATTTAATAAGAAGATTTAAAAAAATCATCTTAAAGAAATGATAATCATTATTTAATAATAACGATTTATAGCATCTCAAAAGAATAATATATTATTATTTCTTTAAAAAGATAATTATTTAATAAGAATAATAAAAATTATTTAATAGAATAATAAATCTATCAATTGGAATAATATATAAATTATTTAATTTACCTGCAATATTTATTTCAGTTTACAATATAAAACTAATAAACCTTTAGATTTATCAAAAAATATTTTTTTTTAATATTATTTTTTAGAAATATTTGCATTTTAAAAAATTTGTTATTATTTTCTTTTTATTTATTTTTTTTTTTTTTTTGGAAAATTTACAATTAGAATAAGTAAAATAACTTTTTAAATGAAATTTATGATTTTTTAAGTTAAGTAAATTTATAATGTTTTTTTTGATAAATTTTTTATTATTTTCCTTTCTTTACTTTTTTTTAAAAAAATTATCATTTTAAAAATAATATAAATAAATTGTTAATGCTTTTTGGATTGAAATTTCCCATTTTTCATTCTTTTTTTATTTTTTTTAGCAATATAATATTATTAGTCATTCAAAAGTGATTTTAAGAAGAATATTTAATTTATTTCTTTATTTACTTTAGGATATAATTTATAGGATGAATTATTTAATTATTTAATTTAAATTTTCTTAGTTTTTTAAAAAAATCTAACCTATTTTTTATTAAATAAAATATTATTACAAAGAGTTTCTTATTAATAAATTTAAATTTAAATAATTATATATTAATAAAATTATAAAATTAATTAATTTTAAATAAATGTTATTAGTGTTGATTAGTATTACTATATAAAACTAAAATTTTGTAGTTTAGACTTACCAAAACTAGTTTAATTAATAACTGAAACTACTAAAATTAATTCTGTTTAACTAAAACTAATTTTTAGTAAAATAGGATAACAAATTTAGCTTAAGCTAATTTTAAGCTGATTAGGCTAATTTTATAATTGGTTTTAGATTGATTTATATTTTTTTGGTTAATTTTATACTATTTCTGATTGATTCTAATTTTATCAATCAGAATTAATGTTAATTAGTCTAAAATCATTTATCTGAATTTTAATTTTGGATTATTTTAACTAGTATAATAAATGAGAAAATTTATTAATAAAAAAAAATTAAAGTATTTTTAGTAAGAAAATAAGAAAATATAATAGAAATAAGTTTTTTTATAAGTTTTTAATTAAATAAATTTATTTTTATAATAAAATATAATTCAAGTCAAATTGAATTAAAGTTTAAAAAAGGTTTAACTTGCTTGATTTGATATATTCAATACTCTAACTTTTAAATTAGATTTGAAAATTTAGTATTAATAAAACTTTCAAATTTTCTTTATTATATATAAATAAATAATATTTGAATCTGATATTTATTTTAATAATAATAATGCAAATAAACCCAATTTAATAGCATTAGTAGAGTTAGCAAATACTTTTTTTATTAAAAATTCAAGTTCTAAAGGTGAAAAAACTTAACAGATGATAAAAATATATATATATAATAATGAAATTGCATCTATTAATAAAAATTTTAAAAATTTCAATTTTAATATAGTCAATCCTATATATAATGATATTATATATATTGATAATTGCATGTACAAATAAATAATTTTTATGTTCTATTTTATTATTAATTAAAAATCTTTATATATCAATATTACATATTATTTCACAATGTTATTAAACTTAAACTATTCATCATTAATTGACAATCTGCGAGTCAACTAGAGAAAATTACATATAAATTTGACACAGATCATTTACTAATTTGTCTTGATGCACTGATTTTGTCAATTTCTGGTGTAACAAAAATTTTAACATATTTTTTACTAAAATAGTAAAAAATAATAAAGTATATGTCATACTTTTATTTTTCAAAGTCACTAAGCGTAAAATTTTTTTGGGCGAACTTTACCTTAGAAGTATATGGCATTTACTATATATTATTAAGTACAATAAGATTTCAGAAAGTAAATTTTTTTTACATTTTACAAACTTTTACTTTATTTTATAAGTAAACTAAGTTATAACAACTTCTATTCTGATAAACTCAAGACTTTTTCAATCTTGTTTGCCAAATCACGCTCTGTAGCTTTTTCTTTAAAAACACGAGCATATGTATTTATTCAATTTTGTATGGTATTAACTTTTGGAATGTCCTCTTCTTCAAGTTCACCAGCTTTAACGTATTTTAATAGCTTATCACGCATATTTTGAGCATTCATCCTATCTACTGACTTATGATTCCTATTCAGAAAAAAAAGCTTTAATAGGGCTTT